CGTGCGTGTGATGGTTCTTTATGATTTAATAAATAAACGACACCAACCTGATTGCGGGATTAAAAAAAAAAAAAAAATATTATATTATTGTTTTTTAAAAATTAGATTAATAAATACTATTACTTATAGTTTGATTAAAGGCAATATATACAGTATATTATTATATTAAAGATTTGTAGATCCATGCTATATACAATCTTGAAAAAAGAAATTCAAGTAATACTAATCAAAGTCAAAATACATAATTAAGATATTATTAACAATCAAGTTGACCAATTAGCTAAGGTAACTAGAAAAAAGCAAAAAAATTTCTAAAAAGAATTATTCAAAACTTTTTCAATCTCAATTTTCTCTTGGAATAGTATTTTAATAGATATCTTAATAAAATTATTATTAAAGACTTAAATAAAAGAAAAATATCAATCTTATGGACCAACTAAAGCAAAAGTCAATTCAGATAAAAAGAAAAGATTCAAAATTCAGAAAAAATAGATTGAAAAGAATTTTAGAAATATTATAAAAAGAAAAATATATTTAGTACTTCATTTAAGCAAATAAAAGACAGAATATTCAAAATAAAACTTATTTACAATAAACTTCCTATACTAAAAAATATATCCAAATGTAATGTGACAAGTTACAATGGATATACAAAATATATATTTTATAAAGTAAAGAACAAAATATCAAATTATTTCTTAATATATAAAAAACAAAAATTTATAAAGAAAAAATATAAATACTGTTAAAGAAAAGCTTTTAAAGACAGGAATTTCTAAATATTTCATCTCTAATTTATTGAAACAAGAAAAAATTATTCAATTTTTAAATCCATAAAAAAGGAGAAATATCAAATTAGCCAAAAAATCAATTAATTTAAATATTGGTTTATAAAAAAAGAAAGATATCTTGGATTGGGAAACAAAACATTAAATCATAAAGATCTTTTATATTCAGATATATAAATTGTTAATTAAAATATCCAAAACATGGTACAAGTTTTTTAAGTAACACATATGAAATCTCAAATGAGAAAAGTTCAAGAATGCAAGCAATTCACAAGATATAGATTTGAAAAGAAAAAGAAAAGGAGACAAAGATACCAATATTATTAATACTATTGAGATCACAAGATTTGTTTAAGAGCAAAAAAATTAACAAATTATAGGAGAAGAGAAAAAAGCTATTCAAGCATCACTTTCTACTATACATGTGATATAAATTATTTGCTATTGACTCAATTTTCAAATCCTTAAAAATAATTGCATCATGACTCAATTATTTATATGTTTTAATAGTGACTCAAATAATTGTGTTAAATAATTGTATCAATTGTATCAAGGATTTACTAATTTTAGCAACATGTATACTTTTTACTATTTTAAGTCAAATAAATCTATTAGACAATAAAAAGAAAAAAAAAAACTTATAGAGAAACTCAAAGTAATCTTGTGAAATAAAATCAAAGAAGTAAAAAAATAGTCAAGAATATAAAACATAATTAAGATTTTGAAAAAACAAATTATAATAATAAACTGTAGGCTATAATTTCAAAATATACTTTGAGACAAATATATAAGAATAAACAATTTTTTTTATCTTTACGCTTATATCTAAAGATAGTTTTATTCAAAACAGATATTCAAGTATTATATTCAAAAGTTTTTATATAAAAGCTGTTAAACAAATATGTATTCTATATTAAAATTAAATGAATTTTATAAATGTTTACTTGATTATAAAAAAAAAATTAAAGATTTGTGGATTAATAATATAGTGAATAGTATTTTCAGGTTTTTAAATATATAAATATCTATAGAAAAAAAAATATATTAATTGAATTTATATATAGGTTTATTAGTTTTTCTATATATATATGGTCTCAAACATTCAGATCCAATTCTTAATTAATTAGATTACATAAAGATAAGATTTTTGATCTTTTTAATAATCACAAATTGAAACAGATTGAAAAGAAAAATTGTATGAAAAAATATTTCTAATTTAACTAAATATATATCTATTGAAAATTTCTTTCTGTTATTTAATGTATTTATTAAGTTTAGATAATTTTAAAAACAATTATTTATATAGATACTAATTTATAAATAAAGTTTATAACTAAACAAAAGTTATGTTCTGCTTGATATTTATATATTTAGATTTGACAACTTATGCCAATTGAAACCTTTGAAATATTTATTGGAAAATCTAAAAGTTATATTTTACATAATTATTTGACTTTCAGATTTAATAGTTTATGTTAACAGAGGAATTTTGAAATATTTATTAGAGGTATTAGTAAAATTATAAATATTATTACTGTATAAGCCAAAGATATAAAGTAATAAGAAACTTAGATAAAACTTAATTAATATATTATCACTTTTACTTTTTTAAAAATTAGAATTAAATAGTTTAAAACTGGTAATAGGATTTCTATATTCTTGAATTTTTACTAGTATATAGATTCATTCTTAAAGTATTAGTTGATATATTTGATTAATCAATTGTATCAATTAAATTAACAATAGCTATTATATTGTTTATATATAGAAAATATAATTTATAATGATTAATAAAATCCATATACATAGTACAATTAGTATTATTTTAAAAAAATGTTATTTTTTTAAATATATATTTTGTAATATACAAATCAAATAAAGAAATAATATTTATCATTAAACTATATATTAATTAAATTTTGTTAAATTTTAATTTTAATTTAAAAAAGAAAATCAATGAAATTCTAATATATAGTATAATTTTATCAAATAAAGATATATTTTATAATTTTTTAAAATTTTATATTAAAATTAATTTTGCAAAAAAATAGGTTCAATATTATTATTCAAATATTATAAAAATATTTAGGCTATAAAATTTTATTGGTTTTATAATTAATTTAATAAAATTTATATATAAATTAACATATATGAATCTGGTTTTAACATTAAATTAATAAAACTATATATTCTTTTTTATATTATAATTAAAAAAACCATATACATTAAGTTATTTTCAGTACCTAAACATTTTCAAATTAATCTTGACATTATAAATTAAATTTTTAAGGGTGGAAATCAATAACCCAACATTATTGTTATATCGGGATTATACTGTAATTAATAAAATCCAATGAATTAGTAAAATTTATTTAAATCTAAATTTTACTATGTTTTGTAAAATTGTCATGCTCAATATAATACCTTGACTTTTATTCAAATAATTAGTCATTAAGAACCATTACTTTAAAATTTTACATTCAGTGTTGACCATTTCCAATCTAAACTACAAGCGTTACCCACTTGTGAATTCAATACAAGTTTGTAGAAGTAGAACAAAATATTAACCCGATGAAAGCAAAACGTTTTCGTTTTCCGCATTATCATCTTTCTTATACGGCAGTTCGGAAACTACTGCGATTGTTGCTTCGAGTTGTTCTCGTTCCATATTCTTGTATGTATATACCTTGATACAACCATCTTCATGATCACAATATACCGTTTAATCTTTGATGTCAATATAAAGGGTTGGATTTATCATAAGTTAGAAAACTTACCATCAGCGCTCGTAAATAGCAAAGGTTTCCAGGGGTGAAATATGACATCTCTAACTTCTAAATCTTTTATTTTTTAATTAATTAATTGAATATTTCATTAATATCTTTTTTAATAAACTAGCAGTAAACCTTACTCACCTTCATGATCTCTTAATACAGCAGTGAGATCTCCAGTCTTTAGTCTAAATATGAACACCTGCCCAGTCATTGTTGGTGCGGCGAGATAACGACCATTCGAAGAAATTTTTATGAGCCAAGAGTTGGAATGATAACTATACAAAAATATACGATGAACAAATAATTTCTTTAAAATCTATATTACATCTATCGATACTTACTCTTTATGTCCAAACCTTCGTATTTCTTTAAGTTCGAATGGCTGACCAGTTCTTGTAGGATATATCAACTTGTGTAGTATACACACGTTACCACGTGATGCTAACTCAGAAGATACAATATTCAATTAGAAATATGAACATTTTTTACAGTGAAAATAAATTACGTTTAATTACCTATCTTTCCACCTTCTGCGTCTAAAATCTCTACGCCACGCGTGACGAAATACGCAAACTTTTGTTCTTGTGGCTTTCTTCTTGACCTAACACTATTACCTTCTTCAGCACTACCACTATTGGTGTCCTCATCCTCCAATGGTTCGACTGGGTGAATAAATTTACCACAATCACAATATTGTGAATACATATTTCCCGCAAATGTTTGCAATAGCTTTGACGACAATAAATATGTTAGATGACAATTCAATAATGCAAATAGTACACCAAATAATAGAATATATCGTTACCTGTGCCGATTCAAAATCATATAACTTTACATGTTCGTCCGTGGCCGCCATAAAATATCTATTACCGGTGTCAGGAATGAACGAAACAGTAAAAGCCATACACGTGACACCATCGGCCATTCGCTGTTTACTAATGAGCGTACTATGTACGCAAATGAATTATTAAGGTGAGTACATATCAGGAGTAAGAGATTTCATGATGCAATATATTGCTTACGTCCAGTCATCCTGCATTTTCCATTTTATGATGTAACCATCTTGACTAGTAGTTATATAATATGGCGTTCCTTTATATACGATATTCTTTACACACAAAATTTCTTCGCAGTGACCCTCAAGTTTTGCTATAACTTTTCCAGATATGACGTCAAAAATCTATATAATAGCAAATTATCAGTGATCAAATAATGGCTAAATATATAGTACAAACTTATATACCTTCAGAGGGCAAGGTAGAATATGATTATCTTCGTCGTCTTTCGACCAGAGGTTTCGGTTTTTCAACTTTCCACCGATTGCAATTCGCGTTTGATCAGGAATAAATTTTCCAACAAAAAATTCATCAATATTCTCCTCCTATTTTGTAATAGCGAATTTGAATGTTATATTATCTGTTATTATCTTATTTCCCTCGGCACTTCTTTTATACCTCTGTATCTCTCAACTTTTGGATCAATTTAAAATCGCTTGTATCCCATATTCTGGCAGATCCCACGTTACAAAATGTCACTAGCATTGTACCATCCGAAGAAAGTGTCATGCCCGTAATTGGTCCTATACATTGTATGTTCAAATGAATCATATAATGCGTCTTGGAATTCCCTTAAAACATAACAACAATTGTTGGTGCTATGTACCTTGGTCGCGCACATCCACATTAACTAATTCTAAATGATGCTGTTCGTTTATGTAATTTATCATTCCATCACCACTTTCTGCGTGAAAACGCCAATATTGATCAGGGTATGCATTTGCAAGTTTTTTAACCACGTTTGGCATATATTGTGGTGGCTTTCTTTCCTATTAATATAAAGATAATTTACAAGTAATAAAAGAAAGGTCAAGACATAATCTATTAGAAACCTGTTATCACATTAATTCCCTGAAATTTTTAACGGACGGATCAGCAAATTGGAAGCGCAAAAAATTACCTCAGTCTTGGTTGTGCTTTTCTTGGAATTTACTTGATTTGCTTTCGTTTTACCTTTTGAAGAAGTGCCCGTCAAAGACGTTTTTTTCTTTGATGGAGCCTCACGCGCTTTTCCCTTTCTTTTAGTATCCTTTTTAACTAGGGTATTTGAAGTTTCCACGTGATTTGAGGCATCTTCATCCGAAGTTTGATCTATTTCTTTATTAATGCTATTGTCGCTTTCTTTTGCTTTTAAGGTCAAGGTTTGCTCTTTCCTTTTTTTCGTTTTAGTGTCGGTTAAAGTTTTGTCTTGCTTTTTTTTCGATATTGCTGTGTTTAACGCTTGTTCTTTCTTTTTTCTGGATACAGTAGCTGTCCGAAGGCTTCTTCGCAATTCCTATTTCCACGTGTTTTGAACATAAATTAGATGAAAATTCGAATAATGCTAATATTAAAATATGGAACATTACATGTAATGCAACTAAATTAATTAATAAATCAAAGCTAAATTCCTCTAGAAACGTGTTTATTTTAGTTGTTTAAAGTTCACTTACACTTTGTTGAACAACCATTGTTGGTTAATTGATTTAAAGAGTAAGCGATTAACGAACGATATAAGAAAAAGTAACAATTGCAAAGACGCGTGAATCAGACTACATATACATACGACACGCATCTTCATGAAGCGGAATGTGATTGGATGATAAATATCGACAAGTGCGTGATTATCTAAAATGCAATAAAAGGTCACAGTGTTCAACTCTCGTGAACCTCACTTTTTTTGTGTCTTTCTTATCTACAAAAATCCAACCTATGGAGTCGGTAAATGATGACATCTCTAACTTCTTCAAAAGGTAAAACGAAAGCAAATCAAGTAAATTCCAAGAAAAGCACAACCAAG